TTACAGTATCTCCACAAGAACTCTCAGCTTTACCTGGAGCACCAAGCACCTCCTCTCAACTCTGACAAATCGTTGCTGACTCCCGGCCTTCAAGTCGCTGGCACCCTGCATTCGGGCGTGGAAGTATCATTCATTTACAGAACCCGGCGCCCTGCCTCTGTTTGGCTTACGATTCATGTCTGTTTCCCAACTTTGGAACAAAGCCAAATTTTCCAAACAAAGCAGTATTTGGTGCCTTGTTGCAGGCAGTTCTCCAGCTGGATGTAAGAGTTTTTATTCGGCCTGCATACTCTCTGCCTCATCAAATTGGCAAATTGATGCCGACAGGCTGAAAGCGGATAATGTGCCGTGGCTAATTTCACATCAAAGACACGGATATAAATAATGGCTCCACCCACATAGTTCATGATCGCACAAAACCCGGCTCTCATCTTGGAAGTGAACCTGTGGACCGAGGACTTGAACGCTTGCATTGCGTTTCATTTCTCATCTTTCAGGAGAGAACCTTCTTTGCCTAAGAGAATATCCTGCTTGAGTCTCTCCATTGTTGTCGCAGATCGACTAGAATTTCTGGCCTTGTGCCCAATTCCATATCAAAGAGGTCGACAATGGCATCACGAAAGATTGCTACTCTGGGCACCGTCACATCCTAAGCCAACAAGAATTCACTTTTTGTGATGGACCATGCACTCGCAAAACTCTGCCAGGGTGCCAAATCCAGATGTTGAAAACCCAGGGTCTCCACCATGGTTTTCAGCCCATGAGGGTTGTTCAAGGAGTTGATGATACCAGTGAGTCCATTCATGAAGTGCATCGCCATAACAGACCTTCCGAGCAATGCACACCACAGTGTCTTGCAAGCAATGGTTGCTCTAAAACCATCGGCAATCTCCGGTGGTGATTAAGCCTGGCATTCAACAGTTCTGTTGATCACTTCCCAGTTTCATTGTACGGTCTTCATAAATTCTTGTTCGTTCTTGCTACTGCTTTCAACAACTTGAGCTGCTCCTCTCCTCGGAGTCTTGAAGAGGCTCTGGAGGCTCGGGGCTGCGTCAAAAAGTGCAGAATAGATGGCCTCGCCTGAAGTTACTTCAGATTAATATCCTCCCTGGACATGTATGCAAAAAATACGTTGACACAGAGATCTTGTCCGCAGGGTTTGAGCTCTTTAGCAATTGCACCCTCTTGCTCAGGTTGATTCTTCGATTGCCAGCACTGTGGCCTGCTGCATCCCTGGAAGCTGCCAGCTGGATAAAGGAATTCCAGCCAGCCTGCGCCTGGCGACACAGCACTTCAAAGCATAAATTACACCGTCACACGGGGAAGAAAACATATTGAAATCTAGCAACTGCATGGCAGAACTTGTCATCGGCAAGCCCATGAGACGCCAGTCCGTGCATCCTCCAAACCCACATGGTGTGATGTTGTGTTTTACATTGTCCAAATTATTTAGTTAACAGGGCCTGTAAGCCAAGATTGATTGAAGTTTCAAAACACAGACAAACATGTGTCTTCAAAGAACAAATGCCAAAAAAATGCCAAAAGGTGTATGCTAACGAAGCAGCTAAAATACAGGTACCCCAAACCCCTGAGCCAGGTCCCCTTCATGCCAGATTAGAAATATCGAACCAACATGAAATAGATTCAAACGCGATTCTACAAAAAGTAGATCTTACGAGTAACAAATGCAAACAAACAAACAAACAAACAAACAAAACAAGCACCATGTTTCAAGCGTTTGATTGCTTTTCTCGGACGGGTCCTTCTGTGTCATATCTTGCATTTGCGTTTGGCTATTGTGCTCTTTCCATAGCACGTTTGAGGCGTCGAGAATCCTTCAGCACCATTGGGGCAGCGGAGCAGGTCAAACAACTACTCAGCCTGTCTGATTCCTATAAATGAAGCAAAAACGTAAGTGGCGGCGCACATCGACAGCTGTCCCATGGCAAGCCTACAAAAGTAGCATGTGCACAATCACCCAACACTGGGCACAAGTTGCGGAGTCTTCCGCAGTCTTCCTACTTTCTTACGAAACAGCGGCTTTGGTTTGGTTCAAGTTTGCCAAGCGTTTCCTTGCTCGACATCTGCCAAACATAACAAGCAACTCGTGCACTTTGCTGGATACTCATTTTGCTGGCCAATTGGCTCGGAAGCACCAAAAGTATCAGAGTCTACAGTAGCGGCATGAAAGGCTTGAACATAAACAGAAGCGATGGCCTCCAACCTAATAGCAATAGCATTGCAGGAAAGGCCTGAACATAAACATGAAAGACCTCCGATAATTAAAAACATGAAAAGGCGTGAGCCTTTCAGTTTGCCGGCTGAGCCTAGATTGACAATGATTGACACATGCACAGCCTCCCCCCTTGACGGCCTCCGAGATCACATCTTCCGGAAGCGAAATCTCCTACAAATGGCGGGCGCTTGCATCGAGCAATTAAGGATGGAATGGATGCAACAGCACAGCACTGTCATCAAAAATATTCTCCACCCTCTCCTCAAAGACCCTGTCTTGCACTTCGGCAAGAGCCCCGATGTCAATGATCTCATCGTCCAACAATTCGTTTGGGATGCCCTCTGATCCTTCTTCCCCATCCTCTGGTATGACGGCGTCCTGTCATTGAAATGATCTGCACTATTCGCTTCCACATGGTGCTCTCAAGATCCTTGTCAGGCGGCTGGTTACTCCAATAGTCATCATGCACATTTAACTGCAGCAGCTGCCCCACAGATTCAGAGGTTCAAGCTTTGACTGCAGCCTCTGCATCGTCAAGAAACTCAGTTTCTTCTACTTCATCATCAGAGTTCATGGCCTGCAAAATGGTCGAGGAAGAACAAGCATGCAGGACAAAATCATACAAAGCCTATGGAAGGCAATAGTTCTAAAACAGTCTGTCTTGCACCAGAAAAGCAACAATTCACTAAAAGAGAATACGTCCATTCATCATCTTGTCTATGCCTCTGACACCCAGGCTCGTGCCCTGCCCGGGTCCCGCGCGCATTGGCTTGAGAGAGGATGGCCACATGCTGAGAAATACGCGCAAAGCTGAAAGCTGGTACAATGCGAACACTTTTCATTCACCAATTCTTTACTACTTATATACTACTTATTGACTATGCTCGTACCTACTATCAGCAAGAGGGCTTTCAAACAAAAAACCCTTTGATGATATATGATAGAGAATCCTTTAGGTATCATATCGTTATATGAATGTGTGTTTCTGGAGACCTTGGGCAACCGAACTGCAAGATCTCACTCTGTCTGGTGCGACTGGCTCCAAACGCTGCAGGCCGACCTGGGCCCAAACAGAAAGTCCAAAGTGTTCTCTGGCGATGTTCCCAAGCTTTCACTGTCGACTTGATTCCCAGGTTTCTACAACCGCAATGTCCTTTCGGCCACACTTGAACATGTCGATAGGAATACAAGATACAATGTTGCATTGCTTTGGCCAAGAATGTGACAGAGCCAAACAATACTTCTGCTTCATGACAAAATCCAAAGGCATGATATACTGCTCACGAAGTTGTAGAAGAACTGATCGGCAAATAGAACAATGTAGAACCCTTATGACAGCCTCCGTACATCGTACCTGAGATGATTAAGATGATCTAACGACATGAAGTGATCAAAGCAAGAATTCATGTTGTTATTCATGTCGATTGGACAAAAAATACAAATACAAACTGAGTGACTCAGTGACTGAGTGTCACCCGCATTGAATGTCACAATTTTGTGGAGTCGATTGAAAACCTGTCAGCTGAGGCTTTGACAGCCCCATTTCGAATCAAAAACAGGGCATCGCCAAAGCACCTTGAAAAGAACCAACAAAGAAAGAAAGATTGAAGACATGATGCTTCAGCTCAAAGAGCACAAATGGATACACTTTTGCGCATCAAGAATGTGGTACAAGCTCACATGCCCTGACACGCCATGAAAGGAGCACCTCGATTCCTTGATTGACTTTCCTTTGAGAATCAAACGCCGCTCCAAGTCATCTCTTTGCGCAGGAAGCGCCCTGTGCAATCCTGGCCAAGTTACATCCAACTTACCGCTACAGCATCCCTTCTGCAAATCAAGACCCAAGCATTGGTCTGTCTACTTAGATTTCAATAGGTGGATTGCAAGATCTGAAGCTTTCATGCTTTATCAGGTTCCCAATTGAAAAAGGGACAAAAAATGAATGAATCTGTTGCCTCACCTGCCACAGCAATCACAAGACAAACACCGTTTCTGGTTAGACCTGACTGGGATGAACCGAGCCTGTCCATCTCACGCCATGCATTTAGAATCACAAGGCAAGTAGGAATAACTAACTAGTAGCTTCTTGCAACTAGTAGCGATGCCCTTTGTTACTAGTAGCGTCCTTGTTCCTAGTAGTAATGCCAGGAGCTACTAGGGGCTTCTTGTTACTAGGTCCTCAGCTTCCTGCATTTAGAAAAGCGAGCTCTTGTCTCATGATGTGATGAATCCGATGCACTTAAAAGTGACTGACTTTGAGGCAAACATCAGGAGCCCAGCTCTTCTCACTGGATAGTGGGCTGCACAATACCTTGCCAAGTAGATGGACCTTCTTGTCATGTCAGTCCCAGAAGGTATCAAAGGATGGATATGTCGTATCCAGCCCTGTGTGCAAGAAGCTTGGCACGATCAAGAAAGCAGCAAAGTGTGGTGGTGGGCTCAGTCTGGCCAATTCCAAACACTGTTGACTGTAGATGCAGGTGTCAACCAGCAACAAACCAATCAGCAAGGAATAGTTTTTGTCACGGCTTTCGGGAAGCGCAGTCACCCTGAACTCTGGGCAACTGTAGAGAAGCACTCCGCCAGTGCCTCCACTCTGCCGAAAAATTGCTGCAAATGAAACTAAGTGGTCTTGGTGGCAGTTGGTGCAAACATATCGGACATATCGATGACATGGAATTTGAGTTCATGTCATCTGAAGGAGTCGACCGTTGCGTGAGAACAATGCAGGACTTCCTATGTGCTAACATCAGCCGCTCACTCATCTCGACTTCTTGTCCTCAGGAAAGTGTACCAATTCAGGCTTTCACAAAGCAAAGCTCAAAAAAACGATCAACAGTGAAATGATATGTTCAACACTTTGCATAAACGGCCTTTTACGCAATCTTCCTCCGCCGAGTCACCATCTTCTTTCCCGCACGCTTGTATGGAACATGGACCCAGGTGATATCTCGTGGGGCCTTCTTTGGTCGAGGCCCGCCAGCGCCCCTGCCGGGACAGGAGTGAAACCCATGTGGCCCATGCGTGTAAATCCGATGCATGTACAAAAAAACAGACCGTCCACTTCCATGCATTGAGGATGCAAACTTGCTGGGCAGTTTTGTGCACATGCAATATCCACTTCCCGAAGTGCAAGGACCTGCATAACACTTCCCGCCTTTTGCCATGACGGCCGTACGCAGCAACATCACCTCGCTCTTTAACCTGCTGAAACATAGACCCAACAAATGTGGGCGCCTCAGTACAGCGGCGCCCACGCTCCTCCCGTAGATATGTTATAAACTATAAGACTATAAGATAAGAGTGTATGTGAGAAAATGGAATGAGAGTTGAACACAAAAACGAGCGTGAACAAATGAGCTCTCTCAACGATCTAGTGCAACATATTTGATCGTGTTTGCAAATTCCCAGCCAAGTTGCAAGTAGCAAAGAAACGCACAACATCAGCACCTTGGAAATTTGAACTATCGAGTTGCCACAGCAAGTCCAAAGTTTGCTGATGCTAATGAATTTAAGGTGAATCATATGTGAATGGAGAAAAAGACTAAGAATGCCGTTCATGGCCATGGAAAAATGTTGAACCACATTCCAAAAATTTGTTGCCGCCAGTTGGCAACAAGAACGAAATGGCGCATGATCGCCATGGCCCTTGGATTTTTCCCTTGCAAGCACACACAGCCTGTGCTATGAGCCGAGAATGTACTATGGCGACGGTTGCTGACATGAATCGCAGAGTTTTGGTGTCAAACACACCACAATTTGTCCAAACAGCCAAAATCCGTTGGGCGACGGTCTGCTGCTTCAAGATCTGCCAAGAGCCGCCTTGCCACAAAATTATACAAAATGTTGTGATTAACCTGCAATCATGAATTGGATTGATTTGGGACATTGAATGTGTTTCATTCACCTTGGTTGGGTCATTTTGCATGTCCGATCCCTTGAGAAGAATAATGCACAAAAACAACTGCCATGCATCATTTGGTTGGTTCATTTTGTTTCGCTGCCCTAATCTCATCCCAAGAAACAAACAACGCAAACAAATCACAACACGTTTAAAAAACAAAAGCGATTGTCGATGTGCAAACAAAATGTTGTTCAAAAGCTTCGTTTGTCCTGAAAGTACATCATTTACACCAAGCATGAATTTGCACATTTGTCATTTACACTCCACTATTCCCAAACACTGCACCACATCACGTGTCAACAGGATGTTATAATTGCAATAAAAGATTTGCTGGCACATCTGTTTCTTGTGCAGCGCACGCACCACAAGCAGCGCAAAATAGTTGCAATGGCAACTGACCCTGAACCATGAGCATTTGGTCAAAGTTGTGGTTCTGCACCAACTGTTCCAACATGTTTCTTTTTGCAAAGCAGTTTCATGACAGACTACAGTGCACATGTGAAGCATTACTAGCATCACTGTGTATAGTGGACCCACTGCAGCCCTTTGCGCTCACAGAAAAAAGTTCGCATGGCAGCGGAGCAAGGAAAAGGGTAACCCTCTTTGAGTTCCAGAAAGAAAACCCTAGGTCACTGGGATCCCGGTGCGGTTCCGAGCCACAGATTTGGGGCCTTTGCAAAGCCAAACAGCTGGACTTGTGATGAATTTTGTCAGCAACACTCTGCATCCTTACGTTGTGTCAGAAAGACATTAGTGCGCAGTGGACATGGAGGAGATCAGAATATTATATTCCTGCAGACAAAAGCACCTAGCAACAACAGCAGCAGCTGACAAAGGAATTGAAGGCAAGAAGTCATCAACAACGGGTTGGTCAAAAGTTGATAGCTAAGCCCAACATCTCTGACTACAAATCACAAAAAGAAATCAAGAAACTTAGAGAGTGGTCATGGGCATTTGAGAAACATTTGAGTGCAGTTGATGAGACTTACACGAAGAACTTGAAGGAACTTGATGAAAAACCAAATGAGAAGTTTGACATGGACTTGGCAACTTTGGGTTGGTTGTTAGCTTCATTCTGTGGAGGACTCCAATGGATTTGATGCCTGGAAGGGATTGAACAAAGCTTTGAAACCTACTTCAAAGGCCAAAGGATTGGCGCTTTTTGGGAGCAGCCACTACATGGCCTGCATGTTCAACGAACAGCGAAAACCGTGGGTAGCAAACCTCACGGTAAACGACACTTCTGCTGGATCCTTGAGCTCACAGCAGGCTCTTTAGATCATACCTTAGGACGGTAAGAGCAAAATATCAAAACTCTAGCTTATCACATGCCTAATTCAAGACAAGACCTCATGTCCTATGGACTTCTGCAAAACGCGCCATTCTGGACTCGAAAAATGCGTGACTCTTACGCGGTTAATTTGGTTTTAGAACCTTTAAGGATTAGCTCGCAAAGCTTCTTGGGATAATGCTGCGTCTCCTTCCAATTGACATCTTTGGAAAACAAATGATCATGACGACCATCAAAGACACAGACCTTAAGACTCTCAAGCAAAAAGGTACTCTCCATCGCTTATGTCACTGCTCTTGACAATGCCTTGGTCATCAAATCGGCACAAGTCTCGGTACCTCGAACGAATGTGATAGACATCACACCTTTGCAGGCCGCATCTTGCTAAAAAAAACTATTCGATTATCGGTGTCTCAACCTTCTCAACAACCCTGACATCTCAGTCACATTTCGGGCTGCCATCGAATACGTAAGCAAGTTCGGACCTGGCAATTCTTCAACTTGACAACCAAAAACATGCGCTACAGCATGTTGGATCCCTATAGTCTCTTTCGCTCCTTCGAACAAATCCAGCTTGAAGGACAGGCTACACTCTGCTGCAATCCACTGTTGGTCTTGCTACAGAAATCACAAACGAAGATAGCTGCTCCTGAAGTACTCTTACTATTTGTGGACTTTTCGGCTTCGTAATGCTTGGGACATCTGAGTACTCATAGCTTCTGGACTTCAACTTCCGATCGGATACAGAACGGATGTAACGGATACTTGCACGCATCGCTGTCATGAACTGCAACTGGTTGAGCTTGTCCTCGAGCAGCATTGAACACAACCAACAATGATCAGAACTCGACTGAGCTACAACACCTAACTTTCCCAACGCCGTGCGAAACGTTGATGCCGCTTCGGGCGACAACGGCTTCCGATCTTCTTCTCGATCTCGATCTTTTTTGCACGGGCGTTGCTGCCAGTCATCGCAAGAAATGCGAAGGTCAGCTACTGAAGAAATTAGAGATTCCCTGTGGTCACACACCCAAAGATGAACGGAGAATTTAGGCTCTTAAACTCTGTGACCCCAAGTCACTGTCCCAAAGGTTGTAGTAGAAGCTTAGGCACACTTTTAGCTCCACTCCAAGCGTGAGCTCTGGTAGTGAAATGAACACAAAAGTAAACCACAACTTGAACAAACGGATTGAACAAACGGCTGCAGTGAAACATACATCTATACAAGCTATGTCATGTACATGTAACTGGTGCTACATCTGATCACGCCTCCCGAGTTTAACTTCTGGGAGATGTTAAACGAGTCAGGATTAGCACTTTTAGTGAATTAGCCCATAGCCCTTCAGTACATCTTGGTCCTGTAGAAGTACCTACTCTAGCTCAAGCCGTTCACGCTTTCAAAGTCAGTTCATGCTCACCTTCCAGGTAGTGGAAGTTCATGCCTTTCATAGCTGTAGTCATTTTCTCTTCGGTGACAGCTTTCGTTAGCACGTCGGCCAACATTCGGTCGGTGCCTTCTTTCTTGAGACGAAACTCTTTCTTTGCTGTACGCTCTTGTACCCAGTGGTACTGAGTGTCAACATGTTTAGCTCGTCCCAAGCCTCGACGGTTTCCCATGGCGATGCCAGCGGAAGCGTCCATTGTCACCTCTTTGCTGGGAAACAATCCCCAGTCTCTTGCTGTTGATGCGATTCCAAGCATGTGACATGCTCCAGAAACAAGTCCGTAGTACTCGGATTCGCCACTGCTCAGGGAGACAACTCCTTGGCCTTTGCTGTATGTTGTGAGACAGCATTTGTTGGCCATGAGCACGCCTCCTGACACACTCTTTCGTGTCCTTATGCAACCTGCATGGTCGGCGTCTGACCACATGTTGAAGGGGTTGCAGGTGCTTTGGTTTGGAAACAACTGTGCAACTCTTGGTCGATACCTGACATATCGAGCCAATCGTTTCAGCATATTCCAGTGCCTCGATGTTGGGTTCTGTAGACCTTGTGCCAATGAGCGCGTTGCAGTTTGCAGATCAGGTCGATCCTGTGCCAAATACGCGGCTCTCATAGCAATAGATCTATACATCGTTGCATCTTCGGCACTCAGCGGAACTTCTTCGTGTTGGAGTTCCTCTTGACTTGGCTTGGCCAAAGGGGTCTTGACCTTGCCTGGTTGACCAGTGCCTAACCACTTGATGATCAACTCTGCATGTCTTGGATCTGGTTCCCACCAAATGCCTTCATTTGACCAGGTGATGATGCGATTCAGCACTCTGATCTGTTGGCTTGCCTTTGGTGAACCTGGTGGACCGAGAATGCCTCGTTCCACAACTTGCCATTCTTTGGCTGCTGAAGTGTGAAACCATTTGATGTCATCAAAACTTCCAACTGTCGTGAAATCGTCTCCATGCACCTCTGTTCGAAGTTCTCTGGATGCATGGTAGTAGATGCATGGATTGGACTTGCCTTGAACAAATCCTAGCTTCTTCATAAACTCTGCAATGGTCAGCTCCCAATTCATGGGTGCGTCTCTGGCGCCGTAAAGGCTTCTGACCAATCTTCCTACCACATCTCCATCTTCTGGTTTCTTGCCTTCTGATGGAATTTCAACATAGAGTTCTCTTGTGGCTTTGGAATAGAAATGAGCTCTCTTCACATCCAAAAATCCTAAGAAAGATTGCTTTGCTTTTCTTCTTTCGCCTTTCTCCAATGGAAGGCTGTCGCTGACTGCAATGGTTAGCAGTAGCTTCAAAGCTGCAAGGCTCGGCATGGCTGCGAAAAATTCGTCAAAACCTGAGCCTCTTTTGATCTCTTGCGCTACCAATCGACTTCTGTAGAGAGGATTGGTTTCATCTTGCTTGTTCACATCTACCCATCGAGTTCCAATGATTTTGGTTCCTTTTGGGATCTTTTCCCAAACTCCCATTGATTCGACAATGTCGATTTCATCTTTTCTGGCTTTCTCTACCTTCTCAGGTAGCAGCTCTTTTCCACTGATGTCATCATAGTACCACCAGTCTTTTGCCTCTTC